GTGTTTTTTTTTTTTGGCAAATAGTACTATTAGTCCCTAAACTCTTCAATAGATGAGAGTTTAATTCTTATTCTTTTAATTTTAACAAAACGATTCTCAAACTCTTTAAATTTTGACAATTAAATCCTTTCGACTAAATCCGTTGGTTTATAAACGGTTGTAGACAAGTGGCATTTAAAAGTGAGCTTTCCACATCGAAAAGGCTAAAATACCCTTCTTTTACAATCATCAGGAAAGAAAAAAAAAACAAAAAGAAAAAAAAATGAGGAAAAAGAAGTTTAGGACACACCAAATAAAAAAAAAAGGGTTGAAGAGCCAAATCTGGAGACGTTTGGTTCATGGATTAAAATTATGATATTAGAATTATTTTTTATTTACGTGTATTTTTTGTGAGAGAAAACACTGCAGTAAACTATGAACTATGATTCGAATCAGGGTACGAATTCCTTACCAAACGTCACCATCTCTGAGTTGACTCTTTGCAATTCTCGATCTTGTACCAAATTACACATGATGATTTCATCTCCATACCAGCAACCTTGGTTGCATAAAAAAGTATGAGAAATTATGAATCTAGTGGAGCGAAGAGTTAACCACCGACAATAGGAATTGGTAGATTTGGGGCGGCCCTTGGGCAATGAGTTGGTGGATCTGATCAGCGCGACGAATGAGCATTGGTAAAGTTCGTCGAAGGAGCGGCGGCGCTCGGTAAAAGAATTATTCTCGTCTGGTTAACAAGATGCTGGGTCGGTGACGGACTTAGCTGAGCTGAACTTTGTCAGATCTGCCACAAAACCCGCATCACCGCAAGCCAAAATCTGTCACGAATCGCTGCACTCTGAGCAGCTCTGGGCCTGTCGCACAGTTCCCTCGCGTGAATCCCCCATTACAAGCACCCCCTTATGTCCAAGATCATTGTACTTATTTATTTATTTATTATTGTGTTTCACCTTATGGTTTTCTGGGTACTTGAAATTTCTCAACTCTCTTGATACACTTAACCTTGGATGTTGCCTACGTTTATGAATGAATGGAAATGATGACGGAATTAACGTGGGTGAGTATGTAAGTTTTTTCGTTTGTCTGTTCTTCTCCACTTTGATGAGTATATACATGGAATCCAATCTACATTTTGTTTGCCATGGACGGTCGTTTGGATTTTTTTCCCACTATGCTCTCTATGCTCCCCTCTCCAAAATCCTAGATGTTTTTATTCTGTGTTGCTAGATATAGAGATATGAACTTGATTAAAGTTTGAATTTCTGATTTGTTTGTAGATTGTTTTGAATATCTAATTTAGGGCACATTCATTTCACCGATTTAAATATAGAATTCAAGTTTTGTTACAGTAAAAAGTTTTAAAAAATAATCACATTTAATTTTTTTATTATAATAAAAAATTCTTATATAAAATCACATTTCAACTCAAATTATAAAATTAAACGAGTCATTAATGATTTTTCAAATTTATGGATTTGGGCATTAGTTTCTTACATATATATTTTTCTTCTTTTTTCATGTTTTTTAGTTTTATTTTTTGTTAAAAATATAAGTTGAAGTTATTTTACTGAAATACCCGCCTAAATCACATGTACTGTACATGAAAATGGTTTAATTGTTAAAATTTAAAGAGTTTAGAGACTATTTTATCAAAATTAAAAAAGTGAAAACTAAACCGTTGCATATTAAAAAATTTGGGGACCAATAGTGCTAATTACTTTTTTTTTTTTTTTTAGCCGCTTCTCTCTCTTCACTTTTGCAGAAGCAAAACCTAACTTCACCACCAAGCTTTCGACCGGGCACCGTGTAGAAGGCCAATTTCTGTGGCGAAACGTTTGGAGCAAGGAGAAATTTTGGAGATCATAAAATTTTGAGGTAGGGTTTTCTCTCTTGGTTTTTGCACGAGTTATAGGAGCCCTCTGTTTTCAGCCCTAAAAGTCTGAGTTTGGATTTTTGATTTTAATTAAATGTTTTTAAATTTATCAATCCCTTTTAGTCACTGATTAGGGTTCTGGGACGTGGGAATACTGGTTCATGTTTTTATGAGATTTATGTTAAAAAATAAAAATATTTCTGCAAAGATTAAGGAATCAAGCCGAAGCTTAATTAATATGAATGAACATGATTAGTTTCAATATTATAAGTGTTTTATGCATAATTAGTTTAGAGTTTCCTACTAATAAGGGGCCTTAGGCAATTGCCTTGCCGGGTTTACCCTTAAGCCGGCACTGAGTTTATATGAACAAGCTATGCCTAATGCATCATTAGGATAAACAATATTTTGTTATGTGACTATTGATTTATTAGTCTTATAAAGTATTTTTCAGAGTAACACCAGATATTGCCAGCTTTTGTTCATCAGACTAGTTCTGTTTTAGTTGGTTAGTATTTTTGTTTTGTATCATGGGCTGTAAAAATTTGGGGAGAATTTGATTTTCGAGAAACAGAATGAATTTGAGTCAATTGGAACACCCTGATTTCGGAAGTACAGGTGTTAGAGAAATTTGAGTGTAGATGGTGAAAAGAATGCAGAAATAAGAGAGGGTTTGAGGTGTATAGGAATATATTTTTTTAAAGTTTTATTTGCCCTCACTTCTCAAAGTTTGCTACTGAATTTTAATGGTAAATTACTCATAAGATACAACAAACATTTGAACACAATATCTAGCAATAATATTGAGTTTCAGAATATAAATCAAGTCTGTAAACTTTATAGAGAATTAATTAAATACAGAGGTGTCATTTCATGAATGAATGCATCATCTTTAAACATTACAACCATTCTCATAAAGTTACATTTTCAATGTAAATGTATCTTTTCATATATTAATACACACATTACAATAGTTATATTTATTGCTAATTAGTGTTTAGATATGTATGAAAATATATCACTAATTAATGTAATGGTTCGAAACGTATTAAATCACATAAACTCATGAAAACATTGATTTATACATAATTTCCGTTGCAGCGGAGGTTTTCCCGCTGCAGCCGCAAACAAACCCGAGGCATACAAATATTTCGGTTGCAGCTAAAATATTTCGGCTGCAACCAATTTGACCGAATCAAAGCAGTTTTCCTGCTACTACTTTTGAAGTCCCTTTTAATATGAATTTTTATGTTTTAATACTCAAATAACTTGTGATCTTAATCGAGAGATATTATAATCTCTCTAATAACAGGCCTACAGGAGCCTGCTGTGCGGAGAAATGGACAAAGAAGATCGACCCATGTTTAATCTGACTCGTAGGTTCTTGGTGCCACACAATTGTAAGGAGACAGCTTCCCAGTAAGTGATTTCCTCTCTTCTTGCTCTGTTTGTGTGTGTGTGTGAGTTAATTTTTTAGTTATCCAACAAAAACTACGAAAGTCTAGTTTATGGATCATTGATGGCCGGTTTAGTTCGTTGATTCGAATTTTTAATTTGAATTGAGATGTGATTTTATGTGAGAATTTTTTACTGTAATAAAAAAATTAAATGTGATTATTTATAAGAGTTTTTTATTATAAAAAAATTCAAATTCTAAACTCGAATCAGTAAAATAAACTATTTGAATCTACAAAAGTCCCTTAGATTCTGTTCGTTGTCTTTTATAGTCAATAGTTTTCAATGACTGTATATGATATGGAGGTTGCAGAGGGAGACAGGGCTTTTCTTCGACATGACATATTTTTAGGAATGTGTGAGCAATGGTGAATGGGATAAAGTGGAGGAGTACCTATCCAAGTTTATCATCTATGACTAAATCAATCAACATCACAAAAATTGTCTGAGATTCGAGGGCAAAAATACTTTGAGGCATGCAACAGGTACGATCTTTGGTTTCATCTTGAAATTTATAACTGTTTGATAAATCGTTTAAGTTCTACCATTTTCATTTTGCAGGCATGAGGATCCCAAAACTCCTGAGATTCTAAGACTAGATATGGAATCTTTTGCTCCTTCTTTGCTCGCAAGTGTTAAAAAAGTAACGTTATGCTCTGGTTTTGATACCCAGTGTGGCATTCTCTGGTTGTTTTCTGTTGCTGGGTTTGCATCTCTTTCGCAATCAAGGTGTGGCTGTGACGACTAAGATCCTCTGGAGGTGCGACTGGCTGAGAGGCGAGGAGATCTGAAATCTCAAAGGGAATCGCGACCGGGAGCGGCGAGGAGATTTGAAATCTGGGGTGAGGCGGGGCTGACGACATGGCTGGGTTTCTTTAGCAAGATAAACAAACTGAGACTACGAGAGAGAGAAGAGGAAGCGAGCGAATGGTGAGAAAGGGGAAGAGATGTATAAATAAATTTTTTAAAAAAGAGACAGTAGTTTGGGGGTAAATTAGTCCATGTATTTTTCTTTTTAAAAGACACTGCGGCAGAAAAAAATAAAATGTGATTTTATATGAGAATTTTTTATTATAGTAAAAAAATTAAATATGACTGTATTTGAGAGTTTTTTTTATTGTAGCAAAATTCTAATTTTAAATTTGAATCGTTAAAATGAATGAGACTTTTGCCTTTCAATGTTATTCAATCCACGCCAGAAACTTACAGTCTCATTCGATTTGTAAATAATTTGAGTTTTTAATTTAAATTAAGATATAATATTTTTTACGAGATTTTAATTATAAAAAAAATTAAATGTGATATTTTTTTAAAATTTTTTAACTGTAAAAATTTAAAATTAACAATTCGAATTTATATCCTCTCTAATTATCTCAATATATATATGTGTGTGTACACACATATGGAGTGAGAAAATGCAAATACTAGAAGCAGAGTGCAGAGTTACTCCTCTAATTGTAGTCACTCATATAGTTATACATAACCGATAATTTGTCATTTATTTTATGGGTCCCACCAAAGCAGTAAGAGTCCTAACCAGTTGGTAGGTTTGTATTGGATATCATACCCTCAGACCTCACGACTCACAAGAACACTGGATAATCAGATCTATTATTTATGAAATGGAAAAGAAAAATAAATAAATGAAAGTATGGAACCAATTATTTGGACTTTTATCAATCAGATTCATGAATCTGGGCAGATAAACGTACTGGTTAACGGAAGAATAAATAAATGCACATAAAGGGTAAAACCCCAGATAAAAGAGTATTGCCCACAGTCTGGGAAAAATATCTCGGTGGCCGAAAAAAGCCATGGCTTCTCCTTCCCATCTCTCCCCCTTACTAGTCGTCTTCTCTTTGTTCCTCTGTATCGCCTCTGCAACATCCTCGGACCCATCATCAGATCACTATCTGATAGACGCTCCACGAACCTTCATCGTCCACGTGTCGAAATCGCATAAGCCCTCTTACTAGTCGTCTTCTCTTTCTTCCTCTGTATCGCCTCTGCAACATCCTCGGACCCATCATCAGATCACTATCTGATCGACGCTCCACGAACCTTCATCGTCCACGTGTCGAAATCGCATAAGCCCTCCTTCTTCACCTCCCACCACCACTGGTACACCTCCATCATCAGATCCCTCCCTTCTTCCCCTCACCCCTCCAAGCTCCTCTACACCTACGGCAAGTCCATCAATGGCTTCTCCGCCACTCTCACCGCCTCTCAGGCCTCCAAGCTCCGCGGAATCCGCGGCGTTGTCTCCGTCGTCCCCGACCAACCCCGGCAGCTCCATACCACACGGACGTACCAATTTCTCGGACTCACCGATAACTTCGGTCTCTGGCCGAACTCCGACTACGCCGAAGACGTCGTGATCGGAGTTCTCGACACCGGGATTTGGCCGGAGCGTCCGAGCTTCTCCGGCGCAGGACTGTCTCGTGTTCCGTCCGGTTGGAAGGGGATCTGCGAGACGGCGAAGGATTTCCCGGCGTCGGCTTGCAACGGGAAGATCATCGGAGCTAGGTCTTTTTACAAAGGGTATTTGGCAGCACTGGGAAAGCCGATCGACGAATCTAAGGAATCTTTATCGCCGAGAGATACGGAGGGTCATGGGACCCACACGTCGTCAACGGCAGCCGGGGCTGTGGTCTCGAACGCGAGCTTTTTGCACTACGCTCCAGGGGAAGCCAGAGGAATGGCGACCAAAGCCCGAATCGCTGCGTACAAGATCTGCTGGAGCTTGGGATGTTACGATTCCGACATTTTAGCCGCCATGGACCAAGCGATTTCCGATGGTGTTCACATAATATCTCTTTCCGTCGGATCCAGTCATGCTTCTCCGTACTTTTTGGATTCCATCGCCATTGGATCGTTCGGAGCCGCCCAGCACGGCGTTCTGGTTTCTTGCTCTGCCGGAAACTCAGGACCAGATGCGTATACTGCAACAAATATTGCTCCTTGGATTTTGACCGTTGGCGCTTCCACCATCGACAGAGAATTCCCGGCTGATGTCATCCTCGGCGACGACAGGATTTTCAATGGCGTGTCGTTGTATGCTGGTGATTCTTTGGGCGCTTCCAAGCTTCCATTAGTCTACGCCAGAGAAGCTGGAGATAGATACTGCCATGAGGGGAAACTCATTCCGAAGAAAGTTGAGGGAACAATTGTTGTCTGTGACCGTGGGGGCAATGCTAGAGTGGAAAAAGGAAGCGCTGTAAAGCACGCTGGTGGGTTCGGAATGGTGCTGGCGAATTTGGAGGACAGTGGCGAAGAGCTCCTCGCAGATTCGCATCTTTTGCCCGCAACTATGGTGGGTCAGATCAACGGGGACAAGATAAAGGAGTACATCAAATCGACCGAGAATCCGACCGCCACTATTGTGTTCCGCGGAACGGTGATTGGGTCTTCCCCGGCTGCTCCAAAGGTCGCTGCTTTCTCTAGCCGTGGCCCGAACATCCTCAATCCGGAGATTCTAAAACCGGATGTTATAGCTCCGGGTGTCAACATTTTAGCTGGATGGACTGGCTTCATTGGGCCAACCGATTTGGAAATTGATCCGAGGCGCGTTGAGTTCAACATAATCTCGGGTACTTCAATGTCCTGCCCACATGTTAGCGGAATCGCTGCTTTGCTAAGGAAGGCCTATCCGAGCTGGTCACCTGCAGCTATAAAATCCGCACTGATTACAACAGCTTACGATGTGGATAACTCCGGCGAGACCTTACGAGATCTCGCGACTGGTGAAGAGTCGAATCCTTTCGTACATGGAGCAGGGCATGTGGATCCCAACAGAGCTCTCAATCCGGGGTTGGTGTATGATGCGGGCGTTAATGACTATGTGGCTTTCCTCTGCTCCATTGGATATGATTCCGCTCTTATATCAATATTTGTTAGAGAGCCAACTAGTTCGGATATATGTGCAAAAACGTTCGACAAAATTGGGGCTTTGATTAGTTCAGGAGATCTGAACTATCCATCATTTTCTGTGGTGTTTGATTCGAATCGTCAAGTGGTTAAGTATAAGAGGGTTGTTACAAACGTTGGAAGTGAGACTGATGCAGTTTATGAGGTGAGTGTGAGCGAACCCGCAGGTGTTGACATCAAAGTTTCTCCGAGCAGGCTTGTCTTCCGTGCTGATAATCAAAAACAGACATTTGAGGTTACATTCACAACAAGTGTCGACTATATCAAATCTTCAAGGTTTGGTTCCGTTGTGTGGACTGATGGGACTCACCGTGTGAGGAGTCCTGTTGCATTTAAGTGGAGGACTGGGTCCGCGGCTTCCATGTGATTTGCGGATTAAGCATTGTATGCGCGAGCGAGCCCTTTTATCGAATTTCTAGCTAATCAGAAGGGGCTTTGTTTCCTGCAAGATGATTTATTTATCTGCCCTCTTGTACAAATTTGAAGATTTCAGTGTGGCCACGGATTATCATGAAATTGTTGTGAATTTCACTTTCTGTGTTATTGGTCTGGTAAAACATGTTGGTTAATCGTTGAAATGCATTGAAGTAATCAGGTAAGTGTTTTATGCAATGGGGATTTTCCCAGAGAGTTTATTTGAATCTTTCAGTAGAGGCTACAACATGTTTAACTTTTTAACTTCTCTCTCTTCCAAATAAAGAAATAAGATCATCGTGTTCACAAAGATGAAAGCACATCTAATTTATGATTGAAACGAAATTGCATTCTCGATTATCTCATTTAAGTCGAGTGTTGCTAAAGAGTGCAATAATGTCTACTTTGCGCAGAATATTATGGCCACATTATTTAAACTGGTAGCTTCTCCCTTCTAATATCACTTGAAGATTTTCAATAAGCTATCAGCTGTGTTACTTTAGCGATTATCTTTTGTTTTCTCCTAGGTATTGGGATGTCTATTGTTTTATTCTTTGCATATATTTATGCTGGTTTTCCATTTGTAAAGTCTTTTTCATATGGGGGAAAAGAAAAATCTCGAACGCCTGGAATAAAAGCAAATTTTCCAAATCCCATGCAATTGTAGACAAAACATACAAAGTCTAGAAAGCTCACTATTTATCTAGTACACATATGATGTCTGGAGTAAGATCACTATCACTAAAAAGATGAAATCAAGTAATGTTGGTAAGCGTTCGTTTGGTTGGAGGATTCAAACCATGTTATTTGAATTATTTTTTATTTACGTGTATTTTTTGTGAGAGAAAATACTGTAGCGAATCACGAATCATGATTCGAATCAGAAAACGAATCCCTCTACCATACGCCCTGAGTGATTTAGAAGGAAAGTTGAAAAGAAACGACTAATACTGCATTTCGTGAAAAGGACTAGTATTCAGCTTGGTTTTAGCACTATGTAGTTATTATGTATTTGTCAGAAGCGAACCAGCTCATTTGTGGCTATTCGTCAGTGTATAACTAATGGCCACAACTGAAGCTTCCACTCAGAATTGTCTGAGTAATGAGCCCATCAAGAAAAGTAGGATTATAAGCAGACAAGACCAGAAGATGCAAATAGTATGAAAGCATAACCAGTGGGCATCCCCACGTGGCGGAATTTGAGCTATGTACAAATCATTAATATTTAAGGTCTTATTTAGTTTAACGGTTTAAATTGTTGATTTAATTTAAATTGTGATTTAATTTAAATTGTGATTCGAATCGGTATTTGAATATGCAAATAAATTATAATTTAAATTAGAAATAAAATCTGAACTGTATTTGAATAAAGTGTTGAAAACTGTCATTCGAGTTTTGTAACAAATCTTATAAAATTTCATTGTAAATGATATTGAAAAATATGTAACATGGATGGAAATTTATTACTCTTTTCATTATGTACACATTAAAAAAATAATAATTTTAATCGGACTTAAAATGAAAAAAATAATATTTTTAAACTTAAAATTAAAGAGAAAGAAAAAGTAAAAAGTGAGTTATTTTTACTGTAGCACAACCATTAGGATGGTTAAATTCACGAGGGGTATGAATTCTGATTTTAAAGGGTTGAATTGAGGTTATAGGTTTGAATGACTCCATTTTTGCTAAAACAAACACCTATTTGAATTGTTGGGTCTGATTCGAATTGAATTTAAAGATCTAAATAGCTGAAATAAACAAGGGTTAAGTATTAAATCGTTACATTGAATAGATTTGATGAATAATTTTCAGGCCAAAAAAAAAAAACATAGGAAAATACACCTTTCTCAAAGCAAGGCCAGGATACTTAAGAAAACAGAAGGCTTTTAGAGAGAAAATTGTCCATTTTCTGTGACAATTATGCACTATTTTGGAATAAAGATGGTGACCCAAAAAGAAAAGGAAAAGTCTTTGCATAAATAACGCATCACTGTCAACAAGTGATAACAAGATACATTATATAATAAACAATAAACAAGCTAATAGTTCCATACTTATACATTGCTGTATATATAGGATAAATCAAGCAATTGCTAGGATAACACAGGAGACATGAATGTGAAAGCCGTGATTTTTATTTTTATTTTTTTATTTTATAATAAAGATCGTGAAAATGGGCTTTGTAAAGTAAGCAATAATGATACCTAACCATATTTGCCCCCCAAAAAAAGCAAAGCAAAAGATATATATATACACATGTGTGTGTGTGTGTGTGTGTGTGTATATATATATATATATATATATATAAAGAAGACTTCAAAAAACAGTAGAATCACTCACAGAGATTCGTGATCTTATTCCTGTACATGGCACAGTCAGCAACCCTGCACGATATGTGCACTAGTCGCACAAATATAAAAAATAATTTAAAATATGGAGGAAGATCAAAGATATATTGATGTTCGTCAAAAATGAGTAAATAAAGCGGAGTTGAGAGTTTCAAGATCAAGTTGAGTAATTTGTTAATTAATATTATTAAATGTTCTTAATTACTTTTACTCTAAACTTTAGGACATCATTTTTAAGCTAAGGACCCACAATATCAATTGGCATTGTGAAAAATAAAAAAAAGTTTCTGGTATAGGGTTTCAATTATTTCAAGAATTAGTATTTTAACGTTGTTGATTTTTTTTATTTTTTATTTTTTATTTTGAAAAGAATGGGGTTTTAATTTGTTAAAAAATGGCTTATGCTGGGCTATTAACGATACGTGTTAAAGTATTTGCCTTGTTAATTAGTACATTAGTATTTACTGGTTATATATGTCTCATATCTGCTACGCAAAGTGTAAAATATACTAGACATGGTACTCGAATAAAATAATATATAGAGGGGTCAAAATTGGTGGTTCCTTGAACCTCTTCCGGAATAAAAAATTATATCTCAATGAAACATGTTCTTAGTATCTTATATTTTTGATAATATTAAAACGGCATCTTAACGTTTTTAAAAATATCTTCTTGGTACCCTGAATCTAATTTTAGAGACATGTAGCCCATGTTTGTTTCAACCATCCGAATTGTTGTTTAGGATTTAAACCGTAATTCACGATTCAAATTGATGTTTGGTAGAGGACAATTCAAGGACAATTCAGACCATTAGCAATGGTTCAAATCCTTAAATTTTAGAATTCATCACCCCTCTAAATTCTAACAATCCTAATTATTTTCTAAGTGAAAACAATTATTTCTACTTTTTCTCTCTCTTCAATTTCAAGTTTAAAAATGTCATAACTTCTTTGTTTTAATTCCGATTAAGATGATTTTTTTTAAATATGTTCATAATGAAGAGAGGAACAAATTTTCATCCATATTGCATATTTTTTGATGTCATTTACAATGAGATTTTATAATATTTGTTGTAAAACTCTAATGATAGTTTTCAACACTTTATCCAAACACAGTTCGGATTTTATTCTCAATTTAAATTACAATTTATTTGTATATCCAAACACTGGTTCAAATCATAATTTAATATACCACAATTCAAATCATTACAGCTCAAACTAAATCAACAATTTGAATAGTTGAGAATCATTAGATTTTAAAAAAAATATGAAAATATTTTAAAACATTAAAATATTTAAAAGAAAATAATAATATAAAAAGGTTAATGATTTTTTTCTAGATGTATTAGATTTTGGGTAATTAAATGGAATGGTACTAAGGTCATTTTACATCTCAAAAATCAACTTCAGGGTATTAAGAAGATGTTTTTAAAAACGTCGAGGTATCACTTTAATATTATTAAAAACACAAAGTACTAAGAGCATATTTCGTTATAACACGGGATATCAAAATGATTTTATCTCATAATAATGAACACTGTCACGTTGATTTGCCTTTAAAATATATAATAAAATAATAATGAAAAAAATTGCATAAACAAAAACAAGGAGGAAAAAAAAATCAATTGTGCTGCGGTTTGTTTGTCTGTAATTACTTTCCTAGTGGTACCAATCGCGTTATTGTTTTAAGAAATAATACCTATTATTTATCTGTTTCCGACGTAAATGAGGGTAATTAACAAGTTATTGAGAACTCCGATGGTTTAGAAATATGTACATAAACACACAGGTATATACACAAATAAGTTGGAGTTTCATAGTTCCACAAGAAAATATTGATAAGAATTCAAATTAGAGCGTAAGAAGTAAAGCAGCAACAGATTGGGAAGGGGGCCTAAGGTTCACGAAGTTGGAAAAACCGAGTGATGGAACTACTTTAAATTCTTGATTTCTTTAATTAATTGATTTATGTATGTCTCTGATCATAATTATTTAAGAACTTGTGTTAATGAATTTCTTTCTGAAGCTGAGTAATAGGCTAATAGCAAGCTTGAACCTACAAAGCAATTAATAGTCTATTTTAATAATGTTATTGAATTTTAATTAATTGCGTAGTAATTTTTTTTCTTAAGTTGTGAAAGCAAATATTATATATATATATATGTATATGCATGTATCATGTACGTATGTCATGCTCATATGTTCATGTGCATGTTGTGTGGACTTTAAGTATCAATTCCATATGTAAATAACTAGCTGGGATGCCCATAATTGAAGATGCTTTCTTTCTCATTTAGTCAAACTCCTCTCGTCTATTCCGGCTATATAATACATATACATATATGTAGAGAGAGAGAGATTGTTGGCATTATTCACAACATATCATATAAATAAATATATAACTTGATTCCTTCCGTCCTTTTTTGTATATCTTGTCCTCTCTCCCACATTCACATTCACATTCACATTCACATGGCCGTAGATAATGAGCTCCAAAACCAAAACATGGCCCTCCTCAACCCGAACAGGCGGGTGGTCCGCCAGGGAATCCCGCTCCGTCGGCGGAAACTGCCGTCGGTCCGCCTCGGGGGTAAGAAGCCGCGGCGGGCGTTGGCCAGGATGTTCAGGAGAATAAGATTGCGGTGGCTGAAACTGCAGTACATGTGCATGATGAGGAAGCTGAAGGAGTTCTACCGGAATCTGATTAAGGATATGGCGGGGGGGGGGGGGGGGCGCCCAGCGTTCCCCCCACCGGCGCGAGCCTCGAAGCTTTCCAGCAAAGGATTTTCCTGGAGTCGTCTTTCGCCGTTCCTGTCGTGGGTATCTCCCTCTCTACCTATCCTTCTCTGCCTGGATCAGATCGCCCTCGTACTCTTGGCATGTAAAAGTCTACTTTGTTTATTTACTTTACTGTATCTGTATGTTGCCTAAATTAATAATTATCCCTCTCTAATTTATAATGTACTTTTTTTTTTCTCTCTTACTTATTTTCTTTGCTCTCTTTTTCTCATTTAAGTTTTTCGAGAAATTTATACTTTGATGAATCCCGCTATATATCATCAAAAATGAAAGAAATTTCATTGCATAATTATGTACGACCTCTTTTATAGTTTGACTACGTGTGTATGTATATTATATGTTGAACAATTACATATATACAATTTTAGACGTGTTGCAGGTAAAATTAAATTTATGATGAAATCCGGCAAAATTAATGGATGAGTACAGAAAGATATATAAATTCGACCAGCCTGATAAGGCCAGAATTTTGAGATGCAAGATTAACAAATCGGCATCACTTGGAAGTTAAAATTAGTCTCATACGACATAGAATTAATTAATTAATTAATTAGTTCAAAAATTGAAGAGTGGAGGGGTACTTTTTATTCTGCATCTAATGCAGCATGGATGTGTCAATATTAATAGATACGTTACGGAATTGGGCTTATTTCAATGTAATATATATATATATATATATGTTACGTATTGATTGCTGTTTCAGTATTGCCCAAGCAAAAAGGAGAAATATATAAATTTCTATATATAAAGAATAAATATATAAAGACGAAATTTGACTCTTTAAGAGATTATTCAATCCGATTTTGAAGTGAAATGACATCACATGATCCCCTAACAATATTGTCAACATTTTCTTGTCTGTGTGTGTGCGTGTGAAAGAATTTAAAATCAAAGAAACTCTTGAACGTACGTTTCTGATATAACTGATTATAAAATATGTTGGAATAAATTAAAAAATCATGAATGAATTATGCAAATAAAAAAAAAAAAAACTCTGAAATTGTCTGTTTCAGAAATGACGATAGAGGAGAAAGGCAACAAAATCATGCAGTACTTATGTAACTAATTTGGATCTATCTTTGATTTCGTTTTCTGCTTGTACACCTATATATGGCTGGGAACCCATATAGAATTCCACAGTCGGCAAAATTAAATATACAGACGAAAACAAATTAATAATATTGTTAAATAGGGATTAGGAAAAACATCATTATCTTCTCCCACGTAGAAGTACATATCTGGTTTTAGCCCCTCGAGACTTGCATATTAATTAGCTACTTTTCAAGGAGCCAGTTTCAACTTGATGTAATTTACAAATGTAACGTTAATTTGTCATCATATATTTGATCTCTTAAGGTAGCTAATTCCAGTACTCAATTTTACGTAGTAATATTGAAGTTTAATTAGTAGGAAATAGAACTAAATTAAGTGAAGCACGTAATTAACATGTAATAACAAACATGACGTCTATTTGTCAGCATGTTGATCTCTTGTGGTAGCTAATAATGCCAGTGCCCAAATTTATAAAGTAATATTGAAGTTTAATTTTATGAAGTGAAACTAAAAGCTAAGAATATATAATTATTGTTAGATCTGATGTTACGTCCGATGTTCCAGATGATGTTGGAACATTGTCTGGAAGATGACTTAATTAATTAAGGTCCGGATTTCTTACTGTTCAAATTGTTCGGGTAGAATAAAGTGCAGAAATCAAAATAGACACGCAATATGGTATCGCAGTTCGGTGCGCACACCTACTCTGCAGGGCCACGCCCAGACAATAAACAGTTCACTATGTTTCAGAAATTATAGACACCGAACGGACTTATTCACTCAAGGACTCCCTCCTAGACAACGACGCCGCTGTGACGAATCTCCACAGTGATTTGTTTAGCGTGCACCACACGTCTTCTAAACTGCACGGCGAACTCCATTCGACCGACAGAACTTCCTCCGAAAGTAACAAATTCCTCTCCCGAATGACGATCTCAATAGCGCACAAGGCTCACAAAAACTCACAGACTCTTTTATGAAAATATTCTATTAAACCCATTCAATCTCTAGTTGAAATCAAAGCCTTTAATAATCTCTCCAAAAGCTCATGAGAAACTCCTTTATAACTCAATCCCCGGATCTTCTCCAATATGATCTATATAAAGACTTAGATATGACATTGACTCTAAGTTGATTAATTCTTTCAACTGATAACTGTTAAATATAGCTGGTAAGACTTTAAAACAAGATGAGAGATCATGAAACAGGCTTATGATGAAATCATGAATTGAATATGAAGTGTATATATGTACAAACATGCATTTGTCTATAATATATAGATTGTGAAGGCAAGTCATGAAGATCCTCCGAGTCTTGTGTACATCATACAGGACAAAAGGATTAAAAGAAATTGACATTCTCAGAGTATCATCGATCGATTTCTTGCATAAATAAGCTTGTAAGGTTGGAATTCTTTTTGTGAGAACATGAGGATTCGACTGTGAATGAGGGAGACTTTGAGAAGACATCTTATGGTTATTAATTTGGCTTTTGACAACATTTCCATTCGCGTAATAATATTATATTTGGAGCTTAACCACTTGCTTTGTGTAGTATCTCTTAATGAAGTGTCCCGCGGGATGACTAAGAGCCCGTTTGGTTAGAGGATTCGTTCATGATTCGTTACAGTATTTTTTCTCACAAAAAATACACGTAAATCGAAAATAGTTCTAATCTCATGGTTCTAATCCATGAACCAAACGGGCTCTAAATATAGATATAGCTTCCTTATATAAATTAGGAAACAATTAGAATCAAGTTTGCTTTATAGATTTGAACAGAAAAGTTTTGAATAAAAATTTAAAGTTTGTGAGAGAAAAACACTATAGGAAAGATTTTTGAAAGTAAATCAAATCTATGAAAGGTGGACTAATCACCAACGAAAATAGAATGTATATTGGCTAAAACTCATTTAAACATCTTTGCCTAGTGCCATCGTCAACGAATTCATGGTCAATTAGTTTAGGGGTAATTTTGATAAATATCCTTTAAAATAGTACCATTAAAGATTTCTAGGTCTCAATATTAGCCTATTAAATTTTACTCATTTGGATTAATAAATACTTTGATAGATTATTATTTATAATTTGACAAAGTACGTTAGTGGTGGGTCTCCAGTCACCGACAGTGGGTCTCCAATCATCGACAGTGGGTGTAATTTGATAGATTACTATATATAATTTGACAGATTATTATAAAAAGAATAGTCTATCACAATAAAAGGATAAAACTGATGAGAATGTGTTTAAGGGTTAGTTTTTACGATTCTCTTAGTTTCATATATCTTGGCCCAAAAAAGTATGGGCCAGGGTATGTAATCTGCCAGGTAATGTAGACATCTCCAAAGCAAATCAAGTAATCAACTAATAAGAAATCAAGTTAGCACATGTTAAATTTGACATTGAGAATAGCATTGGTATTAGGGATGCTCTAACAAAATTTATGTGTAATTATATTTATATGCAAACATAATAAAGTTTTTATGCACTTTAAATATCTATGCTATCTCGAATTTCTATGCCAACACTAAAATTTAACATTTGTGAAAGAAAAATTTTCTTCAATGCTATATGTTTAATGTTGAATTTGCTTATATTTTGGCGCTAAATTATCAGAGTATCGTCTGTGCCAAAATTTGATATTTAGTTGTTTACAATATTAAATATTTTCATTTCCTAGTTATTTTAAATATTTTTCCTTTACAAGTTACAAAGCTAAAAGTTTATAAGAAAAAAGTAAATGCATCACTCAAAATAACGCTACGCATTATAATACAGAATAGAAAACATATCAAAATTATTATTTTTGTAACTTCTTTCTCCTAATATAGTGTTGACATGAAGATTTTTATTGTCGTTTACAAAGATAAGGGTCCGTTCACTTCGCTGATTCGAGTTTGTAATTCGAGTTGAGATGTGATTTTATGTGAGAGCTTTTTACTGTAGTAAAAAAGTTAAATGTGATTGTTTATGAGAGCTTTTTACTGTAGTAAAACTCGAATTCTAAACTCAAATTAGTGAAGTGAACGGGGCCTTAGCGTGTCTGGTTTCTTATACTCAAGGACATAAATTTGTGCGCTTTGACCACTGATTTTCCTCAATTTTTTAGTGGGCCGTTTATGAACTGGGCCTATTGAGAAATAACCCCACCTGAAACGCAAGGCAGGAGAAGTGTAAATTAGGACGTTCTATTCGTTTGGGTGGGAAAATTCCCACGCTTGAGGAATTAACCCAAAAAAATTTTGCAAAAATTAGTGAACTCATCATTGTTCTAAGATTCTTACTTTTTACTCTTAATTAATACTCTTTTAATTAAGATAATTCTTTAATTAAAAGGCATTAATTAAATGTAAAGGGTAAAAATCTAAGACCTATGTATTCTAAGAGGTATTCATCTAAATTTATCTTTTTCTCCTAAATTTATCTTTTTTTTTTTTTTTTCAGGAAGCCAAATTTGTCTTTTAACTGATCTTAGTTGTATGATAAATCTTTCCACGAGAAGTTATAACTTTCACCTATATATATATATATATATATCATGAACCAATTCCCTGACTTTTTATTATCTGTTTATTTATTTATATCGCTAGAAAATTACGTGACTTATTATTTTTTTTCTTTCTTTTTTAGGAAAAAGGAGTGTCTGAAGAAGCCATTGGTAGTTTCTTTGCAAGTATTATTGGAAATTTGTAGTGACCCTAAAATAAATGCTTAGAATGCGCCAAACTACAAAAAATTCCATCAAAATCAATTTGGCTGCTTATACCTCTTCTCACCTTTAAGAGATCACCCCTTGTCCCTTAAAGAATGAACCGTTGCTTTATCATATTGGATTATCCCGCTTTTGTGATACATGTGTAGTCCATATACTTTCATGAAGGCAACAGAGAAACTACCAAGTTCACATTTTTTGTTTTTTTAGAAAAAAGAAAGAAAATGCCTCTTTGGAGCACATGACATCAACATGGATACTGGAATTGTTTATAATATTTCAACTTGTATTTTATTTTTCGTTTGGTTGACAAAAGGTAAAGATATATATATATATATATATATTGAGAAAAGTGTATGTGTGTTGTCCTACATGGAAAATA